CTGAATAATTAATTAGACCAAAATGTCAAACCTGTTACTGTTAGGTCAAAGTCATCTCTAAGTTATGAAATTAAAATAATTATAGAAGTTAACTGAACTGCTTCCACATCTCCTGTACAAGAACCAGAAAAAAGAGAAAAAAAAAAGAAAACTAATCCACTGGTGACGTGGTTGGTGTTGTGTGTTGCATTTTTTTAATGTCCTGGAAATTAATGAAGTATAGCTAATTGAACCCTCTTTAAAAATAAATGTATTTGATTGTTAAAGCATTTTTCTTGCATCCACAAATGTTAGCATGATTCTTATGATTTAAATCTTCTTGAGGCATATTCATCGGAAGATTTCCTAGATGTGCACAATTACATTGCATTTCTCTGGAGTTTCCATCAGTCTCACAGTCAGAATGAGCGCCATAGGTAAAAAAAACAAAAACAAAAACCCATAGCTTTACTGTTTAGCTATCACTACTAATAATAATCATAATCTTATTACCTTTGTTGTGTCACAAGTGAAAATGGATCTTGTTTATTTAATCTCCTACATGCATTGTTGCACTAAGTTATCGCAGCATAAAACCATGAAGCTGTCAGTCTGACGCAGTGGACATTTTTTTTTTTTAACTTTTGTTTATGCTGCGTGATTTTCAAAGTATGAGGAAGCGCTCTCTATCTGCCACGTGAGGTGGTAGAGTTTGTCTTTGGTTTTACAGTTGTTTGTAATTCCTCGATCATTATTAATTAACCATCTCTTTTATCTCATCTGGTTATGCACTGCCATTTGTGACTGATACAGTGTTGCTCAAAGAAAGTCACTCAGCCCTTCTTTATTTTATAGTTTTTACAGTCGGTGGCTGCAAATCATCTCACGTTTGTGCAGCCTGATGAGACAATCATGATGACATGATATCTGCTGCCATATCAAGGAAGGAAAAACACAAAAACACAAGATTGCGTAAGCAAACAACTGTTCTTGCGCAAGAAAGCAAATGCAAGCCACTGAATAATTTAAAGAGCCAAACAGCAATTGGCAAATGCAAATGCTATATCTCAATCTGGTCGCAAGTAGGAAACTGACTAGTATAAAAAACGGAAAAGTATGGCAAAAAAAAAAAAGTTCAATTCCAGTTGCACAAATAAGGTCCAAGGTCTCATTATTACAAGTAAATGCAATACCATCCTATAGGAGTCAGTGGAATAGTAGTGCTATCCAGTGCAGCTTTAAAAAGAAAAAATCATGTCTTTGTTTTATTATTTGTCTGATTGTTAACTGCATAACTGAAATAAATGAAAACAAGCCCAAGTTATAAATATAGTGACTGAAAGAATAAGAATTCTGTCAAGGTCAGCGGGGTGAGCCGTGTGGAATTAGTAAAGGACCCAAGATGCAGGCACTGCTGATGTGAGGTAGCTTTATTTGGGGCGATTGAAAATACAAAAAGGCGACGGTGGCGAAAAAACAGAACTGAGAAAACCTAAACTGGGAAGACTAAGCATAAAACAAGGCTGAAGCCAGAAACAGAGATGCAGGAAGACACAGAGAGAAAACCATAAGATGCTGTAGGGAGATAACGCAGATGAACCAGCAACTAACAGGCAGACACAAGGCTTAAACACACAGAGGGATAACGATGGACTGAGACACAGAAGGAGGGCACAGCTGGGAGTAATCTGACACGACGGGACAGGTGATAATTAAACACACTGCGATCACACACGGACCTTCAAAGTAAAACAGGAAACACACACACATGCAAAGACACAGACTTAGAGACCTGACTACACTAGAGGGGATACACAGGCAGGGATGACACAAAACAGAGGGAGCACAGAATAAACACTGGGAAACCAAAACACAAACAGTCATAATTCATAATAGTATCAAAAGTAAAAGTACAAAAACCAAAAACAC